GGGAGTTGAAGTCCACACAGATTAAAGCGGCCCAGGTTGAGAAACACGGCTCTAGGATCTCTTGGAAGGCTGTCACAACCAGGTCTCATTAAGGGTTTGCTGTCTTGGCGAGAAACATCAGAAGATGGATCAGGAAGACAAGGCCCCCGGTCAATGAAGGAGTGCAACGTGCCAAGAGTGCAACGTGCCAAGAGTGCAACGTCCCTCCCTTCCACAAAGCACCTCGTGTTGGATGGAAGGAGGAAGGTGCGTCTTCTGCTCCCTGCCCCCCCCCCGGTAATCTGGGCTGAGCAGGCTGTAGTGACAGAGAGACCCTCCTGGGAGCTCAAGAAACAGGCATGTGGCATGGGGAGGAGGCACCTGCTGCTTCGGTGCCAGCAGCAATGGGGGAGGGGGATGAGCCAGGGCGCCCACTGCTTGGAGAGCAGAGCATCCAGGCCCAGAGAAAGTCAGGCCAGAAGCAGCCACGGCTTTGCATCCTCCCTCCCTCCCTCCAGGACCAAAAGCTCTGAGCCGAGCCAGCTGCAAGGCTCACCCATCTGGGTCACAGGCCACCAGGCGCCCGTCCGCAGCAGCCTTTCTCCTCCCTGGCACCTGGGAATGGCGCACTGGAGAGCACGGGCGCTGGGGAGGGGAGATGCAAAGGGCCTTACTCCCCACCTGCGGATGCTTCCTTGGTGAAACTGGGTCAATCTGGGCAGGCACTGAGCCGTGGGTCCTGCAGGCTGACTGGGTTCTCTGGGTTCCCACAAAGCCTGGGCTACAGATTAATCCAGGTTCAGACTAAGGAGCTGAGCAGGTGGGCAAAGGCAGCGAAAGGAAAGGCGTGCTTGCCCTGGCTTGGGGAAGTGGCTGTGCCAACGCAGCTGGCAGGTGTGGAAGGAGGAGAGGAAGCAAGGCCGCGGGGAGAGGGCCTCGCTCGTCCGGGAAGGGCAGGGCCAGGGGCCGCTTTCAGGGCAGGCGCGGCGCTGCCCAGGCCCAGAAGGGGAGCCCAGGACCAGCCGGCGCGGCATCTCCCAAGAGCGGGGGTCCCACCCTCCGGGTCACCGTCGTCCCCTCCT